GAAAGTCTACATAAACTTAAGCATATCGTGTGATCTTCTGCAAGTTTCTGATCTTGTACGCTTTACGTTAAAAAAGAAACAACTTTACCAAGTTAGAGAACAAAAGAAACTAACAGATCTGACCTCAATTTCTCCAATGGAACACATCCCAGGTCAGCATCACATATTGGGCAGCACTCCATTTCTTCGTCTGAGAGCTTTTTATATATGCATTTCTTACAAACTGAACAATATTCATAGAACACAAGATCCGATACTCAAACACATCATATTTATAATCAAAGGAAATATATCAAATCAGATTACAAAAACGAAAAATCTGAATGTGAAAAGACCAGTTCAGTTCAGTTATTTGACCACAATATTCCAATGATAACTACAACACCGAATGATGGAAAAGGCCGTAACTACGCGTAAAGTATTAGGATACTTTCGACAACAAATTGTTGACTAACAAATACTGAAAATATTATATAAACCAAAACTCTTTCACATCAGCAACCTAAGCATGTACATGATGTTCATGCAGAATATTAACATCCTTAGATATATCAACGAAGCACCAAATTCTTTAGATTACTTCGTCATGTTCTCAAACAAGAAGTCTAGCTTTACAGCTTTGTCCCCATTATCCAGCCAAGACCAGTGTTGGTCAGTTAAACAAAACTTCTTACTAGCAGTCTATTGGAGAAATTCGATTTACGGTGCAAATAAAACAAAAAAACACGGAGATCAACTCACCTCTTCCAGTCAATCATTTGATATTCTCTTTACAGAAATAGTATAACTACACAAACAGCAAAAAGACAGTACCTCATTTTAGCAAATTTATCACGTCCCACTTATAAATACATGAGCACCTCCACAAACTTCCAAACTCCAACCAAAAAACTAAGCCAAGCCCACACAACCCACTATACACAAACAAATCGAACAAATCAACTCTAACAACTCAAATTCACAAATAAGACCATGACCACACACAAAGACACAGACACAGATACAAAATCACTAATATTTAAATCAGCAAAACAACAACCCAGATGAAAAGAAAACACTCAAGCTGAAAAAAACGAATCGATTTCCAAATAATCTCAAGTGAATTACTAATACGATCACGAATCCAGCTCAATCATATAAAATTCGAAGAAAAGGAAAGGAACCCACAAGTATGAAGGCATTCGATGATAGTGGTGGCGTTGCGAAAGAGCTTGTGGCAGAGGGGGCAGGTCATGCATGGCGCCACCGCCTCCCATCTGATCTTCACCGGTTGACGCGCCACCATATCGCCTAACCTCACCTAAATCAAAAGGAAAAAAATCTCCCACGCTCAAATCCACGTATCTCACGCGGTGCATGCTAGCGCCAGCACACAAGGGATCGAATTTACGTCCATTCGCTTCGCGGTCCGGTGCGCCTGCATTAAAAACCAGCAAAACAAACCCAAATTAATAATTACAGAGGATTCCAGCCCGAGACCTCGGCTAGCAGAAATCATGGAGTGAAGAGCGGGGTAAAGGGATTGCAGAGCGTTTCGAGAGAGATTAATGGCTCGAGGACCTGTAAATCTGAGGAAATGGTTGGGAAGGAGGTGATTTGGGGCTGAGAGGAACGTGGGCTTTGATGCTCAGCGGCGGCGGCGGCGGTGGCTGGTGGG